AAATTGCATTGTCATACAATAATCAAAATTACCGAAGATGTTCATGGTTAGTTATTATCCCAGTAACTGGTGACTGATTCACCAACTAGTGTCACAGGTAAAGTCTCCCTGCACCAACTGTACATTTCCTTCCTGATTTGCCAGTATTTTGCATCTCCCGTTGTTACACAGACACTATATATTAATAAGCATCCATGCCTTGCCCAGCATTTGAATCTGGGTTTGACCATGTGTCTGCCAGCATCATTAACCACTATATCTATCAGAGTGGCAGTTGCTTAAGACAGCTGTATATCTAAGTTTTTTAATGTTCATTTCTGAGGTACCGTTTATGTTAGCAAAAAGTGGAGATATGTTATGCCTTTAGTATTCCTATTTGTAAGAAGTGCTATATTTTTATTTTAACAAAATTCAAATTTTATGCATTTTTTATTGATATTTTAGGTGTTTCTTTTCATTGAATAGAAAGAACGCAACTCTCATTACATGAGAATTTTCTTAGGAGCAGTATTACAGAATGATTTCGTACCCTACTAAAAACATTAAAATTTTTTTAAAGGTAGTAAACAATTGACTAATGATAACTGCCTTTGGAGAATGCCTATTTAAAAAAAATTGTGCATATTTTGCCATAAGGTCATATAATTCTTTTAGAGTAAATTACTACCTTATTAAATTAACATATTAAATTAGAAATGTTAAAAAATGTTAATAGTACAGCAAGTACTGTTAAAAGTCCTTTAGTATGGCTTAAGTACTGTTCTAAACCCTTTGTTTAAAAGTAGCTCCCCTGTTTTGAACATGAAATTATGTGTAAAGAAATTCATAACTTCACATAAGAAATAGAGAGTATTATTCAAAAGCTGAAATGTACGCTTACTTAATTATTGGTAATATATAAAATACTTTTGATTCATCAAATCTGATAATACTCAATTATGCAAATGTAATATGAAAATATAATTAATCTGGATATTTTTAAACCATTCTCCATTTGGCCAAAAACAAAAAAGCAATGAAAAAAAGTTGATTATCTCTGTATTTATTTATTTATTTAAAGATCATAGTTTTGTATAGTACTTCTCAGTACTGGCTTATAATGTGTAATTGATAAATATTTAAATATTTTTCGTAACTAAGGAATTTAACCTAGCTTGACTCCTTTTTTTTTTTTTTTTTTTTTTTTTTTTTTTTTTCAGTTTTATTTGATACCATTATATTATCTGTAAATCAGTCATGATTTAATTTCACCCTTCACATTTTAACCATATACAGGTATTGTAGATATTTGACCTGGTTCATTGTACCAGTTGATCAGATTTTGTTGCTCAATTCACATTATGAAAGCTTAAAAACTCAGGAACCTGAATTGCTCCAATTATTATTATACTTTATTTTAGAGAAATGTCATTTCATTTGACAAATAATCTACAGTTCATTAAGCTGTGAATTTCTACTATTAATGTTTATTCATATTTTTTATGCATCCAGTTTGTTGAAAGGTTTGATGTGCATCATTCCTGCATATGGAGTTAACAAATGAAAATTGCAGCTAAGAGAATTGTTATGAACAATTTCCATTTGAGATAAAAGAATAAATTGTTAATAAAAATAATCTATTGTCTTAAGTGTGTTGAAAATGTTAATGAATTGATATGTTTGTGTAAGTTGTGTTACTAGATACAAAATGTTGAAGATACCAGTGTTACTGAGAGCAGCATGGAAACATTAAACATTTAATAATGTCTATAAAACATTTGAATAGTTTGTAAAAAAGAATTCAACATCATTTTAAAATGCTTTGTACATAAGTGTTCTGAATTAAAATGTTTTAGAAAATTGGCTCATTCATTTACTTCTGTTGTGTATTTTTATCTGTAATTTATAGTTTTTATGGTTGTTGATCCATTGTAATATTCATATATAGATGTATATATGTAATATTAAAATTTTTAAATTTGGCTGCCTGCTTATTTTACTTAATAAGCATATAAGTCTTTTTTTAAAGTTCTTGCTTCATGTCATTTGTTCCTGCTGCAATAAAATGTTTCTGTTTATTCATATTACTATATACTCTGCTCAAAAAGCACATACATTAAAATATATTCAGTTATTATTAACATTAAAAAAATTATAAAGTAAAAATATAAATATTCTTGATTTGTCAAGGTAATTGGGTACTGCTACTAAAGTAAAAGTTGTGTTTTAAATATAGTGGGTCCTTTAAATTTTTGATAAATGCTTTCCTGAAAGTACAACACATATTCATTAATAATAATGTTGTAATGGCTCATCTGTACCAATAATAATATCTTTTTGTTGTAATCATACGTTACTCTAACTATAGCACTAATTATATTATTTCAAGTGAAATAAAATATAAAAACAAAACTTATGCAGGAAGTTTAGGTAAAGTATAGAAAAAGGAAAAGTAATAACTAAACAAGAAGTTTGGCTAATATTAATCAGAAGATGAATGGTTGCTGAAGAATCAGAATTTGAATTGTTTTGTAGGCAGGAGTATAAGAGAAAAGAAAAAAAAAAAAAAAGTACCATGTGTGAACAACTTTTATGACTAAAGATAGTGAAACAGATATCCATGTATGCCATGTGAATTTCTGTGCACATGGTGGGATAGTATATCTTTATGTATTTAATTTAAAATTATTTTTATGGGAAACTGCAAGAACTTTTCTTTTTAAGTGGGAATGCTGTAACATCATCAATTACCTAATGACTACCTCAAGAAAAGTCATACATTATAAATTATTTTTGGAAGTAACTGTGTTACTTAAAAGTACAAAAGATTAATATTGATTTCATTTGCTTCTTCACTTAAGTGGAAGAGGGGAGTTTCTAATAATGTAGACTAATAAAGGAATATGATGATATAATTAAAACTTTTCCTGTTTATCATGATAGCTTCCTAGTTATTTAGATTGTTTTTGATAACCACTTTTAGTCATATTGCAGGTGTACTGTCATTGCTATGGAGTTTTTGATTTTAATTATGTACAGGAATAATGCTATGTGGAGATTTTTATTTATTTAAGTTAAGGAAAAGAAATTCTTCCCAGTGCAATCATACTGGCATATTAACTATTATTCATAATATGATTTCAATGAATATACAAATTTAGTTTAACTAATGATATTTTTTTACACTTGTTTATCCAAAGAATGCCATATTTCTTGACAGTTTGAGCATTTTCTGTGAAACTACTGAAGGTTAGAAAATTAAAGTAATAACCATATCTGAGAATAACTTATTTTATCCTTGAAAAATGCTTGCAAAACTATAATTTTTTTATGTGTCTGTAGGACATAACAATATCATTCGTGTAAGTTTTTCACTGTACAAGTTGGAGGTTAATAACTGCTGAATTTCAAGCTGTCATTGACAGCCATGTTATTTGTTTCTGCTTAATCAAAAGTACAACATGCAGATGTTCTGATCGTATAGTAAGTATAACAATAGTGGTTTTGAATCTTTTAATGATTTAAACTTCAAAATAACTGGATGTATGAAAATATAAATTTCAGTTTTACACACTGAGATTTCTGTTCATGTGAAGAAGTAAAATGAAGGACATATCCAGCTAATACACTATCTGCCCAAAAGTATCTGGACACCCAGTGGAATGGACTTGGAGAGTTCTGATGCATATATTAATATGATGTTGGTCCCCCTTTTCCATCGATGACAGCCTGCACTCACCTGGGGAGACTCCCAAGTTTTTGATAGGTGGCCATAGAAATTGACTTCCAGGCATTCATCATAGCTGAAGTGAGTGCTGGTAATGAGGATGGTTGATTTGGCTGGCTACATATTCTGTGTTCTAAGATGTCTCAAAGATAATCGGTGGGATTTAAGTTTGGGCTGTGAGAAGGCCAGACCAGTTTTTGGATGCCCATTTCATCAAACTATGGCTGTGCAAGTTTTGATGTGTGAATGGAGCAGTTATGCTGCTGGAAGAGAAATAGGTCTTCCCTGAAACATTGCAATAGACTTGGGACAGCAGCATTTTCCAGAATGGAAAAGGGGAACTAACATACATCTCAGAGTTCATGTTTCCAACCACAGAAACTAAGAGACCTAAGCCAAACTATGAAGAACACCACCACACTATGATGTCACCAAACTTTACAGTTGGCACAGTGCAGTCACTTAAGTAGAGCTCACCAGGCATCCACCAAATCCAGATGCATCCTTCGAGCTGCCAGATTGTAAAGCGAGATTCATTACTCCAAAAAACATTTTTCTTCATCTTTACAGTCCAATAACGGTGAGCTTTGTACCACTGCAATCGACACTTCTGGGGAGTGTTGTTTTCCTTGTGAATGGCTGCACGACTATGGAATCCCAGGATTTTTAACTCTCATGAAAAGTCCTGCTTCTAGCGCTAATGCAATTTAAACTTTGGAACTCCTGAGTAATTTCAACCAATGAAAACTTTTTATTTATACAATTTGGTTTCGCTACCTTTTCCAGAGATCTATGGCTGTGTTCTCCAACTTTTTTTTGACTTTTCTGCTGTTTAACTGCCTTGATGTTTCCGCTTAACAGTTACGTCATTCACAGTGGATTTTGGCTTTTGTGTAAAATATCTGAAATTTCATGAACTAATTTCCTACAAAGGTGGCATTCCACTCTGCTGCCCCAATCAAGGTCACTAAGTTTCTTTATCTTACTCATTGCCTCACAATAATAGGACCTGGCAAACCACTACCAACACTAATAGCTTTTGGTTACACATAAAATTACATCACCTACCAGATTCATTTCTTTACGGGGAATGTCCAGATACTTTTGACCAGATAGTGCAATACAAACTACTAGTTCAATTAGATTTTATGTACTGAATGGTGCTTTATTAATCTGGGCATTTTATAATAATATGGAGAGTTCTGAAAATTATGTTGAGAAAATTAAGGTTTCAAAAGTGTTTTCTAACATATCATAAAGGAAACTGGTTTTAAATAATGACTTCGAAGAAACATTTGGAGCTAAAAGATTTTATTTGTATGCACTTACATATTCAGATACTTTTTAAGTTCTTTTACACATTTAACTTAATTGTTAACTTTTTACATACATGAAACTTGTTACAGTAATTTTTTGTCTTAAATTTTGTTTTTCTGTAAGTACTGACAAATGGCAGAAATCTTGTCTAAAGTGAGTGGAAAGGCATAGAGGGAAAACAAGTTCCATAGAAACAAATCTGAAAGAAAGAATGGTATTGCATTTTCTAAGAAAAATGTATGGGCAATTTGATGGTAATAGAGAGCTAATACACTCTTTTGCAAAAAAATCGAAGCACCCTGAAGGAAGTGGTTGTTTTTGATGAAATTGAATTTGTGTATATAGCTCATACACAGATAATAAAATTATTAAAAAATCAAGGTCATAGTACCTGTTAACGGCTCACAATCACTCTTAGAGTGTTCAAATTAGTAGTTGGTCGAACTGCCCCCTGGCGGCAATGCATGCTTGAATTCGTCGAGGCAAGGAGTGGTAGAGGTTCCTAATGTCATCCTGCAACATATTCTGCCAGGCATTAACCAGCTGTAGCTCCAGACCTGCGATATTTTGTGGTGCCCGAATCTAGCGGCCTACCATGTCCCAGACATGTTCGATTGGTGAAAGGTCTGGTGATCTTGCTGGCCAAGGAAGAGTATCAACCGCACGGAGACAGTCTAGAGATATGTGAGCAGTATGTGGCATGGCATTATCTTGTTAGAAATAGCCCCAGGATGGCGTGCCATGAAGGGTAATGCAACAGGCCGCAGGATGGTATCAACATATCGTTGAGCTGTTAAAGATGCACGGAGGATGACTAAAGATGACCCGCTGTCTTAAGAAATAGCGCCTCACACCATTACACCAATGGTTATTGGCTGTATGCCTTTGTAAAACAAAGCCTGATTGAGACCGCTGGCCCCGTCCTCTCCAGACACGAACACGTTGGTCATCTGCTTCAAGGGTGAAGCGGGATTTATCTCTGAACACTATATGATGGCAACCATGATGATCGGCTGCGACATCACTCCAGATGACTCCACCGATGTTATGGGGTCAAAGGCAAACGTCTTAAAGGCCTCTGTGAGTGTAACTCCGCCTCAAACTAGCGCCGTGAGATGATGGACGGTGCCACGGGGACGTGCCTATAGTGCGTTGAATAGTCGACAATGATACCGTTAGGGCGATTCGGGCCTGGCGAACAATCATCCTATCTTGAATCGCATTTGTGCTCCTTGGCCTTCCAGAGCATTTATTTCGTCAGCAATTTCCTTGTAGCAACCATTGCTGCCAACATCTTTGCACAGCAGTGTCTGTACGATGCAGATGGCGGCCTAATGCTCGGTATGACCATCCAGCTTCACGCAGCCCTACAACGCGGCCACGTTCGAAGTCATTTAGTTGTCTGTAAGGTCTTCGATATCATCGTAATGGCATCTTTAGTTGCTTCTTTGCGGAATTACAATGGCAGCAACAAAAAAAGTTAAATTTTCTGCTTCTGTTACTGGTATTTATATTTTGCGAATTGGGCACTAGAAATGCGCGCTATGATCGCAATTCCTATTCATTTGCCTTGAAACTTTAGTCATTTGCATGTTCGATCAAGATGTTTTTGTATACCAAATTTTGTCACGATCGCAAACGTCCTTCTTGGTGCTTCGATTTTTTTTGCAAAAGAGTGTATATTGGTAGCAAAATTGTTTTTAATAGTTTTCAAAATGAAACTTGAAGTGATTTGTATTTATTAAATTAGAACAATAAAACATATCTAAAGCAATTTTATAAAGCCATATATGACTTACCTGGCGTATGGAAAGCTCAGAGCAGTTTTATCATAAAGCCATGTGTGACTACAACTGATAGATGGTACGCTGAAAGCCTAACTCTTCTTGTTATAGAACTAAAGTTGAAAGTGTGTATTTTATTATTTTGAAAAATGAGAAATTTTCAAAATTTGCTGTAATTGGCCAACTCTCAAATTTGAAAATTTTGACAAAGACTACGCTTGAGCAAAAAATGAATATACGTCCCTTTTATCAGACTAACAAGGAAGCAAATCTGCTTGTTCATAATATGAACTAATTTTAAGTGCATCATCAGTGATGACTATAAATGTGTCTCAAATGATGCAACATATGTTACAATAAAGTATTATTTATAAAACGAGTTACTGATGGTCATGCATTATAATTGTTAAAGTTAGGTATGACTTGAAATCATTGTATTAGTCACCATTCAATTTAAAAAAAAAAGTACAGTCCAAATTCAGTTAGGTGGTTTTCTATATGATTAATTATAGAAGACTTCTTTGAAATCCAGTAGCACTGAAAATAGGAAACATCTTAAAAGGCCAGAGGCGTAGCTAAGGTTTTAAGCGCCCGGGGACACCTTAAGATTTTGCGCCCCTTTCTGTGTTCCAAGAATAGAAAACATTTCATTCTGAAATGTGTATCATCAATTTGGCGCCCCCTGGATGCTGCGCCCGGGGACGGATGTCCCCCCTTGCCCCACCCTAGCTACGCCACTGTAAAAGGCTAAACGCAATATGATAACTGTCAAGAAAAGTTTTATAGTTGAGGCTGTTAAATATAGGCTTCCTCTGTACCATTTCATGTTTTAAAAACTCGACAACTTTTTCTACACGCCTTTGATAAAATTGAGAACATCAGTGTCTGATTGAGGGGGCATGATCTGAAGTTGAAGGATTCCTTGTATCGCACTGTGTCTGAAAATTTTGAGTGCACAAAGCTCCATACTTTTTTCTTAATAATGTATTTTAATGTCATTTCTACATGATTGATATTTTACCTGTAAAGTGTAATGTGACTTACTGTAGCTAAGCTCAATAAAAGTGTTTCCTTTCACTCTATATTTAATGAATGCCTTTTTGTCGAAGAGGAAGGTTTGCAACTTGAGCTTTCAGTGTTTCTTATTCTACATCAAGCTTTCTCTTTAATACAAAGAGAAAAGAGGTTCAAAGCTTGATTAATAAGTTTCCCAACTTGATAAATACTGTTTAAAGTATAGAGGCATTGAAGTAGGTGTGTTGGGACTGGAAACTTTCAGCTCTTCTTTGTAGTTCTCGAATTTTAAAATTGGGATAAATATAAATAAGCCATTTTGGGAGATTATATGTAGAGAACTTTGTTAAGTTACTTTTTTTTTTTTTTTTTTCAAATCGACCTCAGACAAAATCATAGCTGTGCTGCAAAGAAATGTAATGCTAATAATTGGGCTTACCAAAATATTTTTGCACAAACCGGAACAGTTTTGAAAAAATAAAACCTATTAAGATAAATATATGATTAATTATAGTAGACTTCTTATTCTACATCTGTGATTGAAAAGTCTAAATAAAGAAGTTGCTAATAAAAAAACAAAGAATTAAAAGACATTTTTGTAATTCAACCGAACATATCTTATTGTTGCATGCGTACGGGTTCATAATACTAGATTGAATGCACACTGAACCGATGAGAGCCTGATAAAATTTATTTTACCAAAAGAAAAGCGTCACCGTTCTAGAACTTTCCACAGTAGTATCATACAGCACAGATACTAGTTACACTTCAAATTACTAAGAACGTTAAACACAATGTAATGTAAGATTTATCTGAAGAGCGAAGAGTTCGCTTATGCTGAACTAAACAATAACTACTGAGAAACTGATACTGTCTCCCTGCCGCTGAGAGATCTCTAGTACTTTCCACTTCTCGAAAGACAAAGACAGACAGACAGTTAAAGTAGACAGATGTCTTTTGTTGCATCCGCTAAGTCTTTCTGCACCGATGGGCGAAAAATCAAGCGTAGGTGCGAAGGAAAGGTATATAGAAAGGGGGGCAATTTCGTATTTCAGAGGAGAGTAAAAAGGAACTTCGTATATTTTATACGAGTTCGAAAGGCCGTGAAGAAAAGATGAGACAAAATAAATGGCCCAAAAGTAATGAAGAGGGAAAAAAAATATATTTATAATTTAAAAAAAAGGGCCTATAGAAAGAAAAGGAAAGGAAGTAAAAGAATTTTGTTAAAAAAAAAAAAAAAAAAAAAAAAAAAAAAAAAAACATGATTGTGTCCATGAGTGTAGTCAAAGGAAGTTGTTATCATTTACATTAAATAGAGTCTTCCAGGTGTGTGTAATGAGTGTGTTTTGTAAAGCTGAATAGATGTAAGGATGGGGAAAAATTAATAATAAAAAATAAATATTGGGGGTCCAGTCACATAACAGTATAAGTCTAGTTTAGAAGCTAACTTTTACTATAACAGGGAAACTAAAATTTAAAAATTCTTAAATTAGACTTTTATTTTTTTAACATGGGAAACAATATGTTAGCCTTTACCTTGAAACACAGTAACAGAAGACACATAAGATCAAGATACATATAATATCATCCAAAATTATACATTAACTTAAGTAACATCATCTATTGCGGTTTCCAACATATTCATATACTCAGAAAACACCATCAGATAAAATCATAAATCTAAAACAAGGCGAGAACACATCAGCAAAAATAAATAAGTAAATAAATTACAGAGTTTTTTTAAATTTTAATATTAATTATTTTTTTAAATAAGCATTTTATTATTTATTAAGTTAATAATCATAATTTATTATATGTGTACTATTTTATCAATTTGTATCACTGTATTAATATATGCTTTTAATTTAAATAGATAGGAAATATAGATTAAAGGAGCAAAAACTACAAATCTATACATTCATTGAAGCCCAATATCGTGTTTTTTGCCTCTCGAGAAATTCCTCAAGGGGCCTCAATGGGTAGCGCTGACAGACTACACTACTGATAAGGATAGCGTCCCTACGAGATGGTAACCAAAACAAAAAAAAAAAAAGGAACCACATGATTTAAAGCAATTACTAAGTATTTAATGCCAGAACATAATAAAATGAGCATAATAATAATGATCATAATAAATAAATGAATTTAAAGGTACTTTAGTGACAGATATTTGATTTAGCTTAGAGAAAAGAAGTTCTACTTATCTGAATGTTCCGTCTTGGTGTTGTAAAAGATTGCAAGGAAGATAAGACCTTTAGGTACACGAAAACTTTCGGTTTTGAGAACGAGACAATGTAGAGGATATTCGCGAAAATTTTTCTTAAATAAATGAACGTTTTCTGAAAGAAACCTTTGAAAATTTTGGAGCTCTTCTAAGATCCTGCCTCCATCGTACGTGATCACAGCGCCCTCCAACTATTTGTTTTCCCACTGCTCGAAATACTTGGAAGGCTTATGAGGACCGGATACGGTTGCAGTACATATATCATCAATTGAAGTTATTCAGTTACAATACTTCATTACATTTGTATAGTGAGCAGTCGAAAGTGTTGCAGAATTTGCGATTTCTCGCCAAATTTGGCGACGAAAATTAACCAGAAACATCGCTAGCTGCTTGGCGATATCTCGCCAATTTAGCGATATAGCCATTTACTCTGTGTTCAGTAGACTTGCCCCTGTATTCTTATATTTCCAGTAAAGTTCCGCCTCTTCGGATTTTTATGATTTTATACAGTGCGCTAGGAGGAAGAGGGAACCCAGACCTGGCTAGCTCGAAGCTGCCTTAACACAGTTAAACGCCCCAACTTCTAATTGTGATCCAAGGAGTATAACCGTGGCCTTCGAGAAACCACGCTGGTCAACCCAGGGGGTCAATTGTTGTTTCACGCAGGCTGGGTTAAAAGCACACAAGTCAAAGATAGATGACAACGCATCCACCACAAAGAGAACAAAGTCATGTCCTACCGAGTAACGATGGTTGTAGTCACTATGAAGGCTCTAATTTTTTCCCAGACGGTCGAGTCTGTCTAGATATTGACCTAGGCAGAACGCCGGGATTGCTCTAAGTCAACCCCAGGAGGGGTTATAAATTATACAGAAGCACATTACATTATCCAAGAAATACTACAATTTCGCATATAATTTCAGTAAAATTATTTACTTTCTAAGGTATATTTTAATTTTATAACAATAATTTTAATTTAAAAGTGCTTCCCTATCAGTTCTTGGTTCCACATGCAACTCCCTACCAGAATGAGTGTTTAGAATCGCGTTGAATGCGAATGAGTTATATGAAATATTTAAGGAAGGTTCAACTTATTTCATGAGAGAGAGCTAGGAATCTTGAGTACCGCGTGTTTTCCTTCGGGCTAAGTCTCTCTTGAAGTTGTTACGCTCGGCTGTATAGTACGTGGCTTTTGATATTCGCCGGCTATTTTAAATTCGGGGCCAACTACGTTAGATACTTGTGTTAGCTTCGGCTAAGTCTGCTTTAGTTATTTATAGTTTTGTTCTTATTTCTTAATCCGAGTTTAAGCCCGAGAAAAGGGGCAACTGTTCGTCTTATTTTGAGTGAAATAAAGGGTACTTTAACAGGGTTGCCACGCTACCTGAAAAGTCAGGGAATTCGAAAACTGACTAAAAAAAGTCAGGGAATTCGAAAACTGACTAAAAAAAGTCAGGGAATTTAAATATTTTAATCAAAATCTGTAAAAGTCCCGGAACTTCATACGGCGATTTCCTCCCCCCTTCCCAATAAAAAGTGATTTTTACGTCAACGTTGGAAGCGATCACTTTCTTGGCAAATTATGTATCGCATGAGCTTCATTCGGCAGCTAGCTTAGAGCCAATTTTCGCAGCTCCAATCAGATTGTCTTTTAGAAAGGCAAAGCAAGTTTACAGCAACTTTTAGTTTCCAGTAACCTCGAGAATCAAGAGATTCACATGCACATGTACAGTGCATGTTGAACTAACTGAAATCCAGGATTTGACGACACTATGATGAGCAGTAAACGGGTCATTTTGGTGTTGGCGACAATTTTCAAAGTCGTGCCAAGGCTGTATCGTATACTAGGATTTTACCTCGTGCCAAGGCCGTATCGTATACTAGGATTTTACCAGAAAATGTTAACCCCCTTTTTTTCTTCTTTTTAATAAATGCCTTATTTGTCATTTTGCAGTAAAATAAAATAAAAAAAAAAAAAATAGTAATGAGTCATATAGGCTAACCATTTGATATAATTATATTCGCCAAAATATCACTGATTATTGTAATTCAGTTTTTAATCTTTAAGTAATTAACTTTATTTTAATATTATTTGTGTCATTTAATGCGGCTTCTTCCTTCTAACTTTATTTATTATTAGTTAATAATACTTTCAAATTTCAGGCAATTTTCTCTGGCATACTCCTGAAACTAATTCTAGCAGTATGATGACATACCATCACGAAATTTAACGCACATATATTTTGCTTATGTATGCTGCTAAATAAATATAAGATACCTGAATTTATTTTAAAATATCATTAAATAAATTTCTTTCCTTCGTTTAGCTACAAAATGTCTGCAAAAAAAAAAAAAAAAAAAAAAAAAAAAAAAGGCATTTTTCATCCAGATTGTAATCTCAATCTTCAGTGGAGAAAACAACGCCTATTATAATAAAATTGCTTTGGGGATTATATATATATATAAATCATATGTAATTGGCAAGGTTTTGTGTTTTCGAGTGGTACCATAATTAATTTATTTCTCAGCACAGCCAACGCGCGCTACGCGGATAGACTGAAATTTCCTTAAAACACACCTGAGAAAAGACAAGGAATTTCATTCTCCTGTTTAAGTGGCAAACCCTGTTTTAACCCTTCATGACTGTACGTTTTAGTTGTTTGAACTCAGCATAAGTCACTAAACAATTCATTAGGTTCCTCGACGTTTACTTTTAGCAAAAAGAGTGAGCAACCCTACAACTTACATACAAAATTCGTAACATCATTATTAAGAAATTACTGGTACTTATCACTAATGTGAACTTTGTTTAAAAATTATGTGTAAATTTTAATTGACATAAAAAATTCACTCTTAATTGTGCAGCTTAGTCAAGCTTTTATGGTTGATTCAGCCATTCTGCTCTTTTCTCATACGATATGATAATTCATTATTGAGAATAATCTTTCGACTGGTGCCCATTTGCCTAGCATGCTGGAAATGAATTCAGTTATTTGAATAAGATTGGGCAATGAAATTCTCTTTTATTCTTTCTTTGAAATGACTGAAAAGTTGCTTACATTTTCCTTCCCAACTTTTATTCTTAACTACTTTATCAAAACGTTTATTGTATTTGCGCCAGTTTCATCAATTTTTTCACCTGAATCTTCAATTTCAAATCATATTTATTCACTCTTGTTTATCCAAGTAAATGATTTTGCTCCACCAAAACTGTTTCCCCCATACATCAGTACGAGAAAACATCTTTCACAGAAGCCTGTAAACGCTTGTAGGATGTATTGATATTAATAATTAATTACTGTCTAGTATCTTAATTTTTTTTTTTTTTTTTTTTTTCTTGTTTGAGGCATAAATCTACTATCACTCCATTTCTCAAGTTTTGTTTTTAATTCTCCTATTTCATTGACAATATCTATAGCACTCGCTTTTGGAATTTAAGTAATTAAGAAAAGCTTTCGTTTTTTAAAGTTCCTTTTTTAACTCATTAGTAAACACACAGTTCCATTTTGGACATTAAATTAGTACAAAATAATCGTAATTGGAAATCGATTAAGATTGGACATGCGCTACAATGAAGTGACTAGTGTAAGTTTCAGTGTTGCCAACTCTAATGAAACAAAGTATATATAAAAAATGAAATAAAAATACCTGTTTCTCATAAGTCTGCAGCTGTTTTTACTAATTTCGCATCCCTGTAAACTCCCAAACTGCTTACAAATTGAATCATTTCATCTTCATGCCATACTGTTTACGTATAATAAATATCTTTTTATATTTGCTCTCCTTCGTGGTGTTGCAGTGTATTTTTATAGCATTGCTTGTCTAAAGTTCGTGATTTAATAAAACAAATGAATAAATAGGCGCCTTAGGTCGGGAATGAAAAATATTTTGTCTTTTACTATATTCATTTACATTATATGCATTTTAAAATTATCATAAAAAATGATAGTTTTTTTATTTTTGAATATTAGACATTATGCAATCTTAAAACTATTTTTACAACATTTTAAAGCGCTGCAGATTTCTGTTTGTTTGATGTAAAATATAACAGATAAAAGTAACAAGAAAACGTAGAAGTACTTTGTACGCAGAATAAAAGGCACGCCGACGAAGAGACCAGGGACTTTGACTAAATTGCAAGAGTCACCCTAAAGTGCCAAAATCAAACAACCTTTAGGAATTAGCTGTATGGGATTAGGCCAACTTGACTGTGAGAAAGGGGAATTTCGTAGCCCAAAAGAAAGCAGAAACAATGCGATTTGAAATGAAAACGTAAATTAATTTATGTATGAAAACGAGGTACCTATGAAAGCTCAAAACTCTTCTGAAGACCTAGCAGCAGAACAACAAACAACTGTATTCGCTTAAGTTAAAAAAAAAAAAAATAAATCCAAATTATTGTTAAGAGTACCCATCGGCGTCCATAGATCCCATTGTAACGAAGGTCGATAAAAAAAAGGACCGTGAGGGTGAAAGGTTTATCATTTTTATCCACCGGTTAATAAGGGGGACGGTCTAGCTGCATAGATTGTCCTTCTTAATGATTTTTTCAAAGATAATATTATTAGAACCAGTTTCGGGTAGAAACTCCACCACAAAGGCGAAGCTCCAAAACAGAGCCTAGTTAAACAAACTACTGACTTTGCTATAATAAATAATGTTTCCTTCAGTTTATCAATATTTGAATACAAGTGAAACGTTAACTAGAGAATTGTTGTTTGAAATCGGCTATAAAATAAATGAAAATAAATCTTAAGAGGATGTACTTACTCCAGATTGCTTGAGGATTGTGCATGGCTCGTTGTTTGCCTTGAAATAGTGAAAATAATATCTGTACGTCATAGGATCTCTGCATATATAAGAGCAAAGATGCTGTCAAAACAAAATATCATAATTAGTAAAATGCAAATTATTACGAATTTCTAAAGAAAAATTTGAATTAAAATTTCATATCCTAGAGTGTAATGTTTAGTTAATTTTTAATATATGAATTTAGAAATGCGTATAATGTCTAGCACACTCTGCCTGAGGGAAATTGCTTACAGCATCAAAATTGTAACTATGCATTACTTTGAACCATTGCTTTTGTTAATGTGTATCAGTCTTTTTTTAATCTAAAATTTTTATATCGTTTATATTAATATCCTTGATTATATTAAACTGTATGTTAACATACGGTACGAAACTGGTATACGTTTCTGCTGTTTTACAAACCATTAATTAATTGACACTATTTGGTTTGCCGAGAACAAGTTAGCAAATTCCAAATAGTACTTATATTTGCCTCTGGCAGCTATTAAGTTGAAAGCTGCGTGTCGTTAATTCATGCCATACTTCCCCTATATTTTCGATAACGTTTCTGATGATGTAGCTGTTGCAAAATTCCATTAAAATAAGCGCATTTCTTTTTTTTTTTTTTTTGTAGTTTTTATGATTTGAGAAAAGTTGCGGCCCAAATAATAGGCCTTAAATGCAGCAATGATATCTTGCTTCATTGATTGGATCAACGAGAGCCCAAGAATGAACGACCCAAGCATAAGCACATACATATAAAAGGAGGAAATCCAGAAAAAAAAAGAAAAGAAATATGTATCGTATAACATAACTTTAACCTCAGAAAAATAAATTGCGCAAAAAACGATTTGCTTGAATAAAGGGGAAAACAACCATTTATGTGTTCAAAAGAACTAATTTTATGTACTAATGTTTTAGAACTGATATTTTTACTTTACTCAGTTAAAATTGATTATATTTAAAATTTTTCAAATTGGAAACCGGACTGACTGAAGCTGCATTATACGAGGTATTGCTGTCTATCCTATATTCAGATAGTAATAATGTGGAGAAATAAAAACTATGAAACTGAAGTATTGAAAAAAAAACTACTCGATGGTATGATGGGACAAATGACCGATCGATTCGTCAATATTTTCCGACGAAAAGTTTCGACATCAGTTATTCAACAATTGAAAAAGAAATTAGTATTTTGCCAAGCCATTTTGGAAAAGGCAGCATGTACCAATACTAACGGATAAACGTCCGTTTCGTTTGATTTTATGTTTTTAAGGGAGGATTTCATTTCATTTCTCTCTATTTATTTAAAAAAAAAAAAAAAAATATTCTTTAAGTATGCAGGTTTTGAAATATTGTTACCGCCAATTATCCTGCGTAGTTTTAAAAAGTTGAATTTTTACATGTTATATGTTGTACTTAGATCCATATTTTTAATTTTGTAAATAAAAACAACTGTATAAATGGTATGAATTAAAATTGGCCTGTATTGTAAGATAAAATTCTATAAATTCACAAATAAGCTGATGCATTATTAATTTGCCTTTGTATTTCGGACTTTCATCATTTGGCACATACATAAACAATGAGGAACATTTGTAATGGATTGAAAACACGCAGAACTGATGATAGCTTGATGAAATTTACTTTCCCAAAAGAAACATTTAACATTTCTAGAGCTTTTCACAAAAGTACTCGTACAGCTGTTCTCAATATGACAGAGCACAATCAATATATGTAATCTTTCGGCTTGCCACATATTTAGAGTGCTCCCATGCTGCACAGACACTATACATTTACAAACATCCATATCTTCTCCGGGATTCGAGCCCGGACCTCTCGGTATAGAAGTCAGCGTCGCTAATCCCTATTCCGGTTGGGCGGCATATAGTATTTTCGTGTAAGAATTATGTTTGTAGCTATACATACACCTACTAGTGTAACATATTTAAACGGATGAAAATCTGCAATTTATAAGTATATTTTCCCAACTTCTATACATCCTTTTCTCAAAGTATCTATATCAGATCCACAATATTTAACAGTTTCTTTTTGAAAATCAAAAACTGCGTCTTTTACAGAATTATACCGTTTCATAAAGGATTCTGTTTGATTTGAAGTCATATAGACATAACCATAATAATATTTGTCTGGGTATTTTTTGCATAATCTTTGTTTTTAGATGTGTTAAATAAATGAGGAAAATATCCTTTAGCTAATTCACTTAGATCAAATGTTTTAGGAAAATTTCTCAAGAGTACGAATGTAAAGTTAATTGAATCACTAAATTTTATATTATAATTGTTTAAGCTATTACTATATAACCACAATGTTCATCAAAGAATAATTTACAATATTCTTCACCCTGTATAAACATTTTTTTCTGCTACTGTAAAATCAAGTTTATTACTAAATTAACTTTATGAATGCCTGTTTCTTGATTTGTTTCAAAATAAATAAATAAATAAATAAATAAATAATAATAAATAATAATAATAATAATAATAATAAAACATGTATTTTTCGATAAATCCTCCATAATAACATTTGCCTCGCCAATCATTCTTATTTTTAATTTTATTCATACTCATGTTTAAACAACGAGTTCCGTCAATGTCTTTACATAATTTACATCACTCTTCATTCTCTTTTATGCAACTATTTATATACATGCCTCCTAGACCTTTTCCCCCTTTTATATAACATTTATGTTTTTTGGAACCCATTCTCTACTTTTTTTTTTTTTTTTTTGGTGCTTACATTTTGGACATTTCCATAGGTTTTTTACAAACCTTTTCTCTTTTATGACTTTCAAAACATTCCTTACCTTTAAATGATCTAAAAAACAATCATTACAGGGGGTTTCTTCTCCTTGACAATTACTATTTTTTACAAAAGATCTGTTACATTTTAAAGAACATTTGTATTTATTTTTTTAAGATATCTCACTTTGCAATAATGACAATAGTTATTTTTTTTTCTAAAAGACCTGTAGCAGAAGTAATAACATCAACGGGATTTCTATTTTTAATTCGTCATTACGTAATTTTTTATTAAAGTTTCTCTATAAGATATGGTAATTTAAATGTCTAAAAATTCACGAAATTGTTTAATAGGCTCTAAATTACATATTTCTGGTGGAATATTACACAATTCACGTAATTTTACGGCTAATTTTTTTGTAATAATCTTCCTTATTTAATATTTATAATATCATTTTTAGTTAAATTATATAATTCAGTTTTTCATTTGAAAGGTCAGGATTTTGAATACTGAGAGCCATTATTATAGATCTAGCTAAACAGATTATTATCATTACTTTTAATTTGACAAATACTTTGATGATAAATTTGACAAATACCTTTGTTGATTATATATTTTTCATTCATTGGTTTCTTTAAATGTTTACCTCCTTCAGGTAATTCGACTACTGTAAATTAAAATACATACCATACACCATACACCAATACAATTATATCCAATTCTTTATATTCAATTTTATGGTTTAAAACATATATACATATCTCAAATACATCTTTTATAGACAACATATGAGGGTGGAATGGATCATTGAATTCAGTATTACGTGTAATAATATCTACCTTACCGTTTATATTTCCAATACCTATTTTAAATAAGTTTTTTAAAATATTGTAATACTGAACAACTTCAATACTGTTATTCTATAACGTATTTTATAGATGTTACATTTTTTATGCATTCTTTATAAAATTTTATAATCTGGCTTAAAAACGTTTCTAAATTCATGTCTACATTTTTTTTTGTTCTTTTATAACTTCAAATTCGCTAGTATCTTTGTTAAATCTCCAATTGTATGAATCTACTATTTTTTAAATTTTACTTCTTTTTTAGGGTATTTATGATGTTAAAACAGGTAATAAAAGAAGGTATAAAATCTCCAAATATCTCTGGTTATTCTTTCTTCAAATTATCTAAAATGTTGAAAATTCTGGGTTCTTTCAAATAGGATTTTTTAATATTTGAGTATGAAGGTGTTTCGGATTAAAAAGTCCAATTTTTCAATCTTAGAAGTATTTGTGGTATTTTTGGTTTTAAATATATCAGAATTTGATTTAAGAATTTCTGGTTTAATTTGATTTCAAATAGCTTTAAATAATGCACCACCTTATTTCAATTTAGGCATCTGAGTTTTACTTATAATAATTCTTTTTCTATTATTTATTTGATTAATTTGTGTTTTTTAAATAAAATCATAATTTGGAATTTTAGATTTATCAATCTGTAATGTTACTTCCTCTTTTGTATTATAAGCAGATTTTAATTTACTAATCAGTCCATCACGCAAAGAAACTTTATTTTTATATATAATTATTCATTTATTAAGGATAAAAATCAAGGTAGAAATTGATCGTAATGTTGTTTTACATCCTCTCTCATTATTCCATTTTTTATCAGTAAAACCACTTGATTAAATAATTTCTTTGATTTATTTCCTTTACATATTTCATATGTTAAATCTGATAAAATATCCATGTCATCTAGACTCTCAACCATCTTTTCTTTTTCTGTTGAGTCTCTTTCCATTGAAGAATATCATTTAAATATTTTATGTATAAATTCAAATGATAAAAAATGGGCTGATTAACAATTTTATCTCCTTCACGATCATCTTTTTTTATCGTTTTTCTTATAATAGTTGATCCAGAAGCCCCTAAGTGTGGTATAATTTCCTTTTACATCATTTCTGCTTCTTTTTATTACATCTTTCAAAGTTTCCAAATTTTCATTCAAAAGTTCACTTGTTAATTTAAATACTTTATCCTTAATAAGTTTTTTTGTCTATACCCTCACCAATAAATTGATCTAATACATCATTTGCTTTAAGTTTAGCTTGAGTACCTGTTGTAGATTTTTCTCGAAATAATTTTTCTAATTCCGAAGATTCATATGCAAGTTTAGGTGTTATGATTCTAATGGAGGAAATGATATGTTTTGTAAAGCATCTTGAATACTTTTTACAACATCTTTATTTGAAGTTTCATATTTTTCTATTTCTATAATAACACATTTATGAAATGTCTTTAAAATTTTTTAAATGCCTAATTTTTTTTTTCGATCATAAATTTTTCTTTTAATTTCAACTTGCAGTTTTATAAGTTTAATATCATTTTGTAGCTGCTTTTTTTCCTTAATTTTCCTTCTTTTTCTAGCTCGTTCATTTATATAAAAGAAATTTGGCTTATAGTAAAATGAATTTCATGATTCAAATCAACATTCTTAACTACCAAAACGGTCTTTTAGTCTCTTAATTACAGGGCCACAGGATCGGAAAAAAATAAATTTAACACTAAATTTAATACAGTTTGAGACATTATAAAAATGCGCAAGACTATTATATGACCCAAAATATGTTAAATTGCTAGAAAATTATACTAGGTTTTGAAGCTATAGAAAAAGAAGATATTATAAATTGGCTTTCAGAAATAAAAAAAAATTATTAAAATTAAGTGATAAATTTAAAAAAGAATGGAGTAAAATTTACTTCGGATTTAAACGATTTTACTGCTATAGATGAATTAGAACCATCATTTAAAACTATAATTATTATTGATGACTGCGTAACTGAGGAACTACAAGAGGTTAGTTATAATTTGTATGTAGATCCTAAAGCAAAAATGCGTTTAAAAAAGCCTAATTATGAAATAGGAGATTGCGTAAAAATATCTAAATTTAAAACTTTTTTTTTTTTTTTTTTTTTATACAAAAGGACCAAACTTTACGGAAGAGATTTTTATTATTTCAGATATTATAGAATCAAAACAATCCTCATATACGTACAGTTATAGAATAAAGCATTTAAATATTGAAGAAATTGAAGGATAATTTTATGACAATTAAATGGTAAAATATAATCAAAAAGACAATGTATATAAATTGTCTGATTGAGAAAATATTAAAAAAGAAAGGAAATAACAGTTTAGTAAAATGGCTAGGTTACCCGGAATCTTGTAATATATATATTGATAAGCAGGATTTATCTCCCTAATAAATACGTTTACTTCTTTTGAACATTAAAAAAAACTGAAGATTTTATGGCACACCCCATTAAAATTTTAAAAAATTGCCTTAAAATCAATTCAGATTTTGCTTTCTTGCTCTTCATGTAAATAAAAATTATAATAATATAAAATTTACCATAGAATCTTCATTAGATGTTAAAGACTAATGACTACAATAACTACACCTGATGCAAATTATACAATTAAAGGTTTAAATAAATATTTGATAAACTTATTAGGAAATGATCCTCCAATAAATGTAATAATATTTACTTTCAAGAATTTTCTTCAATTAGAACTAAAAATTATAAAAAGTAATAATGATAATATTGTAAAGAAAAATGTAACTTTAAATATCTTGGGAAGAACCAAGGGAAAGAATATCTATTAAATTATATAAAAGATGGGAAATTAATTTAAAAAAGGGCGAATTTCGTAAAATTATAGCATTTAAAAAGAAAAACATGTAAGGCTCCAGACGATGAAACACATATAGAAGATGAATATCCTGTTGATATAACTAACCGAAATGATAATATTTATATTCATTGTGATATAGTAAATGGAGCTTATGTAAATGGAAAATCCACTGAAGTTATTCATTCATTTAATTAACTTAAATCCTCCAGATAGTATGATTTCAAAAACATTTGATAAATCGATATTTTTTGCCGTTAAATTGGATGAAATTAGTGATGTTCATATGTGGGTAGCTAATCAAAATAATGACCTCATTGATTTAGGTAATCAAGATGTTAATTATAATTTTATTTATAAAAAGAAGACGAAAATTATTTGAAAACAATTTATGATCTTATAATTTTAACGTAAATAAATGAATAATCATAGATTATATAGAAAAAGTAAAGAAAAAAGACTTTTTACACATTTTGTTTGTATGTGTCTAGTAATGATCGATAACATATAAAAAGCCTAAAAAGCAAGCCGTAAGTGATAAATTAAATGAAATACTTTCAGTGAAATTAAAAGGTTTAATAATTATACGTAAATAAAAGGAAAAGATTTATGACTTAGCAGATACAAAACACCATCATAATGAAAAAACTGAAAGTGAAGAATTTAGACTTAAATAAAGTTGAAAATATAACAGATCAGAGTGAAAATACTATTTGTAATTTTACTATGGAAGAATAGAAATAATATTTACTTTCAAGAATTTTCTTCAATTAGAACTAAAAATTATAAAAAGTAATAATGATAATATTGTAAAGGAAAATGTAACTTTAAATATTATGGGAATAATATTTATAAGCAAAATTATTTACAGCAGGTAAACGAATTGAGCATCATAATGTAGATCTCTATAAAGGATTCATACTATTTTAAAGATTCATTGTACTCCTGATTATTCTGCATTCCAAGGTACAAATATATTTTTTTATCCTGATAAGTGATTTATTATCTTAAAAGGAGCTGATATTGACGCTCCTAAATTATCTGATATAATAAAGAATGTAAAATTGAATGAAGATTGTAATGAAGGATTTTTTAAGAGATGATCTGTTACGAGAAATAGCAATATTGTAAAAATATAGATTCCTTTAAAATATATATTTTCTTTCTTCACAGCATATAAAAAGTGCTGACAAATTTTGAAATTCAATTTCAGAGAAATAAAAGTGAATATATGATACATACTGACGAAAAAAAGTAATTATAAAGTAGTTATTGAAGGTTTAAAACTGATGTTAAATTATTAGAAATTTAAAAATGAAGCAAAGAATACAGTTAAAAATTTTAAAATGGAAAAAGAAATGGAAATTGAATGGAACCAATTCAGAATACTAAAATCACTTCCGCTTTTTTCTCCTCTTGGCATTACAAAATTACATCTACGTCAGATGATGTTTTAAGTTTTATATTCTCTCTCTGTATATTGAAAAAGAAAACAAAACAATACAAACTAATACGATAGTGGATAACTTAGATACGCTTGATTTTTATTTATTGATTAATTAAATTTCCTAATACAAATTATAAAATGGATTTTTCTAAAAGATATGATGACAATAGATTATACGCATCTCTTTTAGAAGCAGGATTGAATTATATTAATTCTGAAGCAGGATGTCTGATAGATCTTTTAAAATTTGAAAAACTCTATCCTATTATTCGTTATGATCTCTCTAATCTTGTAAGTTATACTTCAATCGGAGATACTGAAATAAATTTTAATTGGACATTAAGAAGTAATCCTGAAAAAGAATATAGATTTTACTTTATTTTATTAGAAAAAAAGAAATGTATTTTAAATACAGCAATAAGAGAAATTACGATAGAAATTGCAAAACTATCATTATAATCTGTAAAAAATTAGCAAAATGGCATATTCCGATGGTGGGGTTTAACTATTTATATGCCATTTTTAATGCTTTTCATCCCACTGCCGGGGGTGTTTTCTGGTAGGGTTCCCTGGCGGCCTTATTTCCTTCGACCCTGATGAACTCTGAGTTTATCGGAAAAAGGATGGAACCGTATTTTGATGTTTTGGCGATGTTTTTTATCCACTGTGCAATCTGAGACCCATTCGCATTCCTTAAAAAATGAACCTAGCATTGCCCTTTTTAACATATATTTTCTTATATTTTATAAATATTATTATAATTTTTCTTTTATTTTTAATGCTGCTGACAATGTGGCTGACAGCTGAGGCTGTGGATTTGACAACATTTATTTTGGCATAATTGAACACTTACAGCTTAAATTTTATTCTATATTTTGTTACTATCGCGTAGCATAATTAAAAAAAAAAATAGAAACTACATTGATTGAATGGAACTAAAACTGACGTTTTCATAGAATTACACTGACTAACTTGAATGCGACGCTTGAATTGTTCTACATTTTTGATTCTGAAAAGAAGGCTAAATAACTTGGCTTATTGGCTGCTGGGAACAATAGGGAGACATTTCAACGCTTGTAACAACTTCTCACTTTAGGCAAGAGAAAGATGCCCACTGCCAGTAAATAAAAAGAGATCCTATATAATCTTTTTTACACTTCTTATCAATTTTATTTCCTTGGTAGAGTAAAATGAGTAAATATGGATAGGGATTTGAAAGCTGAATGAACAACCATGAAATGCATATATAATGTGTACAAATCTGGGAAATTCTATGAACTAGTATTCATGTGAAAATGTCCAATGCCGGAATTCAGGTATTATACTGAAAAAGTTTCAAGTAAATCAAACGTTTTTAGTCGTAGTCCATAAGTGACAGGGAAAAAGAAATACTTAATAAAAATTAGTCAAAGACTTTATTACTTTCCCATGTGTATGTATTGTCATTTTCTTCACATATTTCAGTACTGAATTATTCAGTCGCATAATTATAAATTTTCGTGTGCACGATGTGTTCAAATCACGCATCTGTCTATTAAACAGAGGGTGTCCTACCAACTTTTCAATGCTTCATTTTTGAGATAGGAATTCTAAATTCAGTTTGCTGTTAGGGGGTGCATTGTTTTCATTGACCGAGCGTACTTACTTTCCTGTTAGTAGGTCCTGCTTTTGTGGCTCTGGAGTATTTCATTTGAAAGTTGAGACCTGTATGATAACTTAAGGGGGAGATTTGTATGTGTGTCATAAACACATGCATGTGGTTTGGGCCCTTTACTGGAGCAGATTTAACAAATATGTATGTATTTAAAAAAAGAATACAAATAATATTACCTCTAGATATAATCCTTTCATAGTTTTACACATACTTTCGGCACTTTGTTTATTGTTGGGTGCTGTGGTCGTGGTTTTCTCAGGATACTCCTTAGTCGCTTTTGTAACATCAGACTCTTCACTCTCTGATTCCACTGTATTTACAGTGGGCCTTGTGCTAGTACCTACTGGAAACCTCTCATTTTCTTCTTCCATGGGTGTTGATGACGTCTGCGTATATACTTCTGTTGTGTATGGAAACTCTGCTGCAGTTGACAATTCTTCTGTGTAAGGATAATTTTCTGTTGCAGTTGACAATTCTTTTGTGTAAGCATAATTTTCTGTTGTAGTTGATAACTCTTCTGTTGCAGTTGATAACCCTTCTGTTGCAGTTGATAATTCTTCTGTTGCAGTTGATAATTCTTCTTCCGGATATGGATATGTTTTTGTCGTTGACGGAAGGTTTCCATTTTCAGATGAAAATTCTTCTGTGTAATAAGATTCATCTGTTGTAAGTAGGAATTCATCTGTTGCAGTAGGGAATCCTTCCTCCATGTATGGATAATCTTCTGTTGTTAAAGATGACTCTCCTTCCGTGTATGGAGATTCGTATGTTGCATATGGGAATTCTTCCGTTGTATATAAAACTTCTTCTGTTGGGTACGAGGATTCCGTCATATACGGATAATCGCTTGTCCAGTAGCTGGGAAAAGATGTCGTGTAAGAAGGGTTTTCCGAGCTACTCTCTGAAAAAAGTAAAAAGTAGTGAAAAGAAACAAGGAATTCCAAAAATAATTTCAATTTTTTAATGCAATTATATACCGTATATTCTAGGGTCTAATGCGCACCGCTGTATAACGCGTTCTTATATTTCAAACTATATTTCTAAATTTTAAATATATTCGCCATATAACGCGCACCCTTTTCTTTAAGATGAAAACTGGAAGATACATGCGCTCATGTAAGTCATTCATTTGAAGATTTTTACTAGGCTTTCGAACAATGATATACTGAATCGACAAGAGATAAGAGGGACAGTATGTGTGTGATTGATGTAAAAAGCAGATAAAATGGTTTACATAAAACAACATACAGATGAATCTCACCTCACGGATAAATCATACGGATAAAGTACGAAAAATCTTATCTCAAAGTAGTGCTTTACCGCTTAGCGGACGGTACAAAAATTAAAACTCACGTTTATTTTTAAAAGGAAGACGGTGCCAAAATGTAATTTCCCAAATAGTGTTTTCATTCATGTTCAAGAGAAAATAATATACGGATGAAAACAGTGTAAAATTGTGGATAAGAAATGTTTGGCAAAAGTGTCCTATTGCCTGAAAGAATCCAGGAAGTCTTTTAGTTTAGGACATATTCAAATCCCATGTAATGGATAATACGAAGTTGTTGAAAGAGTGTAATACAGACATAGCTTTTATTCCAGGCGGATTAATGCCATTAGTTCAGCCTTTAGATGTCTGTATCAATAAAACATTCAAAGAAAATTTAAAACCACAGTGAAATAAGTGGATGTTTAAAGGGGAAAAAACATTTACAAAAGGAGGCAAATGCGTCATTCCAGTCTAGAAAGAGTGGATAGTAAAAATATGGAATTAAATTAAACCCGACGTAATTCAAGCGTCATTTAAAACATGTAGTATTTCTAATAATCTAAGATGGAACGGAAGATGATTATTTATTTATGGATGAGAGTAACAGTGATGATGAATATGAAACAGTATTTGATGATGTGAAGATATAACGGAAGACGAATATGAGGAACTTTTCATGTTATGCGATAGTGAAATTTCTTAAGTTCATAACCTATGTCACTTCTTTAAATAAACAGCATTTAGGTGCACGTAGAAATCTAATTTTTGTATGCTTATCTTTTCCTTATTTTTAAATATATTATTTTAAAATCCGGCGTATAATGCGTCCCTGTAAATTTCGATTTTATTTTTTGTATTAAAAGTGCGTATGATATGCCAGAATATACGGTATTTTGTTAATAGTTTATATTCGGGATAAATTTTGTAAAGGCCATAAATGAATGAAATAAAAATGCCTTAAACCTGACTGCAATTCCGATCTTGCTTTATATATATATATATATAGATAGATAGATAGATAGATAGATTCTTAGTTTGTGAATGTGTTTAATTAATAACTCTGAACATGTATTATTTCAATTAAGGTAATTTTCATTAAACCTAAAATGATCGCAATTGAGTACGTGCAAACAAAACAAGTATGCTCTTTCAATAAATATAACAACATATATATATTATGTAAACAACTGAATACAAATTCTTTAAAATGAATGATTAAAAATTGAGAAGTATTTAGCGACTTTCAATCTGATAGAATAGTGTAAAAATCAAATATAATTTTTATTGACTCTGTCAGTTAGTTGTATCTGATACTCAAAGAAAGTAAGATAGGCTTTTAGTTTCTGTGCCAGGCTAGAAGCACATACAACTGAGCAACATGAGGTTGGGGATGATGATCTTCAATTTTTGTTATAAAGTGTTTAATTTCGTTCAGTGATCTGACTGACGTTCACTCAAACTTACAGTAACTTACAATAGCAACGATATACTTAACATGAACGAATGTTTGCTATAGTACCCAAAATATATGAGTAGACAATATATGCACAGTGCAAAGCTGTAATACTGCATTGCTGTCTGGATCAGGTAAAATGCTACATATAGTGATGATAATTTGAGAGCAAGGGAAAAGGAATAAATTTTAAATGCGCTTTCTTTAAGGGACCAAATTCTTAGAAAATTGTTTATATGTGGATCATTAAGTAAAAATACAGTTTTCTTCTCCTTTACTTTGCAGGACACCAATCTGTATTCTAGTATTTCGGCTTCTGTGCTGTTTCAAACACATCTTGTAAGAACCTGTATAACTGTAGAAGAAGGCGTTTAGTTAAGCATAGCTGAGCTTTTTCAAGTAGAGATGGTAGCTCTATAAACAGAACAAATTTTGTGCAAAAACAAAATCTGAATGTCGCATCAAGCTTGCAAACATTATCAAGAAGAGCAGAAATCTTTTAGTCCAGGTGTCATGTAAACTATCTATAGTGTGTCCAGGTGTCATGTAAACTCCGCGGTTAGCTAGTTAGCTTCCTCCTCGTGGTCAGCATGAAACACAGTCAGTGGAAGTTTGAATTTGCTTGCGATAACTCTTACAGGGTGCTCGCAACTGAGTATGAGTTTGGCTTTTAACCGCTGTTGCTGATAGGATTTTTTGTAAGTTGTTGAAATATATCTGAGTTAAAAACGCTCAGACCTCTGGATGTTTCTTTAAACTAACTGGATTAAGCTTTGTAATTATTCATGTGCGTATAAGTCGTGGAAATGACCAATAAAGTGGTTAAAGTAATGGATATATATAGAGTATTAAAATCTTTGCCATTCTGTCAAACAGGACATCACGTTCTTTTCCGTATACCCCGAGGGAACCAAAAGCGACTGGAGTTCACAGAAACGTGAGAAATTTTGTGGTAATTTGCGAGAAGATTTGCTTATAAATATGCTTAAGAGAATACTAATTAAAAGTGACCTTATTTCCGTTTTGAAAGAACACGGTGTAAAAGCCGATTGAAGTTTAAAAGCTGTAGAATTGAAAGATAAACTTTTAACTGTAAAGAATAGTTTAAAGATGTCATCGTTGAATTTTTTAACCCTATGACCGAAAGAAGGAAAAAAAAAAAAAAATCGGAAAAAATTTCGAAATTGCGTTTGTTGCAAATCGAAGCTAGTAAAGTGTGTGATTATGGCAAAGCCTCGAGGGCTATCTGCCTAAGAGGAGGGATGCCTTCGTGGAGGACTTTCTAAGGGAAACTGGCTCGTATACACGTTACACATGGGGAAAACCACGAAAACGCCCATGCAGCCAGCCTGTTCGCGGGATTCGAACCTCGGACCGAACTACCAGTGTTCAGCGACTTTACCGCTCGGCCGCTGGTGGGCCCCGAAGCTAGTAAAGAAACAAGTAATAACGTATAAAATGCATTTGCATACGTATTTTATATGTTATTACTTATTATTACGTTACTACTTTATTATTACGTTAGTATACGTAGTATTATTAGATAAGCTTTTGGAAAAGCCATTATCCATTCCTGTACCTAAGGAACGAAGCACCGAATTTATATTTTGATTCAATAGAAAGAGCGTTCAAACATAATATGCCAAATGAATTTAAGATTGAATTTTATTTAAACTGATAGCTAAAAAATCTTCTCCATTTTGATGCATATTAATAATGGTGATTTGAAAGATTATGAGAAAATTAAATCTTTACTCACTAAGAAATGTGAACCATCACATTTAGAAACTTTTCGACGAGCTAAAGGTTGATGGGGGAACTCATTGGCAGCTTGTAGAGACATTAGGTAATTTCGAAGCTGGAGAGATGGAAAATGATCAACGCCTTCGCCAGGACTCGAACCACGGGCCTTTTGAATACGCGCCTAGCGTGCTGACCACTACACTACGAAGGCATGCTAAAAAGGCTGGAGAAATACCTTATATACTCCCTCTTTTAAAGGGCCACCGGAGATTAGAGGACCCAATCTCCAAATCCTGGGGGGAAGAATCATCATCCACTCGCTTTTTGTTCGGGCGCCACTGTAGAGAAATTAGGTTATTTCGAAGCAGGAGAGATGAAAAATGAGCAACGCTTTCTCCAGGACTCGAACCACGGGCCTCTCGAATACGCGCTGAGCGTGCTGACCACTACACTACGAAGGCATGCTAAGAAGACAGGAGAAATACCTTATAAATTTGCTTCTCGTTTAAGATCACGTTGAGTACATTATTCTCAGAGCAGATGTGTGAATGATTTTGAATCTTCAGTAAACTTAATAATTTCAGATAAATTAAATTTTTTAAATAAAATATTTTTAAAAATAGGTGGAGGCAGTTGCGATAGCAGAAAAGACAAATACATCGGCAATATGTAACGCCATACTTTGCTTTAATATTATTATTTGAATCATAATTAATAGCATTGCCAATATGTGTAGTTATAATTTACATGGAGAAAATTAAAATGCGTCTCATGATTTGCTTGGTATCAAATGAATTGATTAAACTATTTTAAGGCTAGGCATAACTTCTATATATTGGTTATCACATTAGTTGAGTTGCGAAAATAAATTATTATTTTTCATTGAAAGAGACGTAGCAAATTAAGCACATTTCAAAATAACTTTCCCATCTCGATTTTCATTTCTCTGCACCATGCACTGTTTAACATTCTAGTTTCCGCTTTTTTTTTTTTTCAGATGATTGGTTATATGTTAATATATATATATATACATAAAAATAAAAAAAAAATCGTTCTGTGTTCCAAATTACTCATTACTCTTCATTGGAATGAAAAAACATTTTTACAATACTACAAAGATCATTACATTTTTCTTAAGTTTGGAATTTACTACTACTTATAAGGTATTTCTCCCACTTTCCTCACGTGCCTTCGTGGTGTAGTGGTTCTGCACGCTGGGCCGGTATTCCAGAAGTCCGTGGTTCGATTCCCGGCGAAGGCGTTTCTCATTTTTCATCTTACCTGCTTCCAAAAATATATCTAATGTCTCTACAGTGCGCCCGAACTAAAAGGGTGGTGGATGATGATTTCTCCCCACCCAGGATTTGGCAATTGGGTCCCCTAAAAAACCCCAGTCGCCCTTTAAAAAGGGGAGTATATAAGGTATTTCTCCTACTTTTCTAACGTGCCTTCGTGGTGTAGTAGTTCTGCACGCTGGGTCGGTATTCCAAAGGTCCGTGGTTCGATTACCGGAGAAAGCGGTTGCTAATTTTTCATCTCTCCGGCTTTTCAAATTAACCTAATGTCTCTACATACTGAGGCAAGTTGACAATAGCTTTGAAAATAAATCTTTATTATATTATTATCCTTTTTATTCTATATTGTTTCTTTATTATATTATTATTTTTTGTAAGTATATGTTTATTTTACAGAATGCAGGATAAAAGAAAAAGAATTTTTTATTGATGCTGATAAATAACCATCCTAGATAAAAAATTTGGAGTTTTGTTTTTAATTGAAACATTTCTTTGTTTGTATTCAACAGTTATATTTACTTTCACTACATTTAAAACGATACAAGTAACTAGTTTCAAGCCATAGAAAAACAGGTTGTTTCTCATAAATATCTATGACTTTTGCCGATGCGGCTAAACATAAAAATAATGAAATGTAATTTCTTCGCGCGACGCTAATAAAAGAATTTTCAATTCCACATTCATCTCAGTTTATATATGTATCAAACTATTCAAGTTCAAAATGTATTTTAGTATATTTTTGATTTTCATATTAAAATGATTTTTTCTTTAATTTGTAGTGCGTAATATATAGAATTTTTTTTTCAAATGTCTTTATAATCGTTTATTTTCTTTTTCAGTCAAATATTATTTTTCTAGTAATAGATGATTCATGATTTAAGAAAATCTAAACAAACTTTGTAGGTAATGGATAAAAACAGAGTAAATAATCTGCTAAGGGGGCTGTAGGAAAGCTTCCTGGAGATAACTGGCTCCTATTTACGTCTTCGGAAGGATAATATAAAAATGCTTACATAGTCCCCTCTATCTGGAATCGAAGTTTGTCCCATTTTTCTTAAATAAATGAATATTTAACAGGTTTGTACAGTGCAAGTTTATTTCAAACGTCGTCGTTCTTGTTTGATCTTAAATATTTGTAAATCTAGTATAAAGTGTGTGTATGTGATTATGGCAAAGCCTCGAGGACTATCTGCTTAAAGGGAGGGATGCCTTCGTAGAGGACTTTCTAAGGGAAACTGGCTCGTATACACGTTACACATGGAGAAAACCACGAAAACGCCCATGCTGCCAGCCCGTTCGCGGGATTCGAACCTCGGAACCAACTACCAGTGTTCAGCGACTTTACTGTTCAGCCGCTGATTGGCCATTTGTAAATCTAGGTAAATAGTTAAATTGAGTATGAAAGAAAGAAAACTAAATAATAAGTTAGTGAAAGCTGAACGAAATGTTGTGTTGGAGGTGGTTGTGTCTTTGGTGTATTTAATTATGGCAAAGCACACTAGGGTTATCTGCCTAAGAGGAGGGATGCCTTCGTGGAGGACTTTCTAAGGAAAACTGGCTCGTATACACGTTACACATGGGGAAAACCACGAAAACGCCCATGCAGCCATCCCGTTCGCGGGATTCGAACCTCGGACCGAACTACCAGTGTTCAGCGACTTTACCGCTCGGCCGCTGGTGGGCCTGTTGCAGGTTGGAAAAGCGTCAAATGCTTCATGTGTATTTTGAAAAAAACACTATTCGATATTTTTCGGTCTTTAAATGCCGTCTTATTTCATTAGTTAACTTGCTGAGATAGGGTATAAAAACTTTACTTACGACTATTAGCAGTAAAGCAGAAACTCCAGCATATAATTAGAGTGGCGATGATGCGATTCATATTCTTTTGCTTCAGAGATGGAACAGACTGAGAGGCATCGAGTTTTTTGATATAGCTGCAGATTTCTCGTCCAAGCGTACATCGCGTGTGTAAAATACAGGTGCTTAAATATCGACATAATCGACATTTTCCTTATTATTAGAATTAGCTCTAAGCCACAGGAAAAATTAGATTTTTTTTCACATTCTCGTGCATCACGGATTTTCATTTATTCTGGATTTTCTTTCCCTGTCTTCATATAAAACATTTCGCTTGTAAGTTGACACAGAATCAGATAAAATGAGACGCCTTGAAATTTGTAAGCAACTAAATAAACAAATGAATATGAAAATAAAATAAATAATGTAGCAAGAAAAGTATGTTACAACATTCATAAATTTTTCAGTGGCATTTATATGTGACTGTAACAAAAAAGCACACATTAGAGGGGACGCTTCTGAAATATAAAGCAAATCAACATAATTTACAAAATTTTAAATGGAGAAATTGAAATTAAGGAGTTTACTAATATTTTCTCTTCAAAAATGCTATCTGGCGTGGATCAACTAACTTTATGATACAGTAAAGATACGTAGGTTTCAGACTACAGTCGTCGAAAACTGGCGTCCATCTCAGTTTATTGCTCTGGATAAGATAACAGATAGCATTTTCATAAGTTTCCAGTCAAAAAAGCGTCAAGGCCTTCAGAGTTTCATTGCTGATATTATTTTTTGTGATTCGGGAACCGAATACATTATCATTCTGGTGTGTTTTACTCCCTTCAGAGTTTCTTCGCATGGAATAATTTCTAATATCCTGACAAAGATATTCGAATTCATTCTTATGGTAACAAACTGGCATAAATTTTTTCTTGAAAAATCAGCAAAATCCACTGCTAATTCCTCGAGTATTCAAAAGCTACTTCAAAAGGTGTTCCAACAAGTTCGCTGCTATCTCTGGTAGGAGTGAGTACTGGCAGTGCTAGTAAAGTTTTGTATGCGTTATGTTACAGTAGCACTTTCCAAAAATTTTAGTGCAATCTTTTTGAATACTAGTAAAATGGCTATGATGAAATCGTGGCTACGATCGGAGTCAGTTGCTTTGATAACATCTGATAATTTCCTGTTGCTATAATCTGCCTGCTCCGATTGGAATTGCTGTTGAATTATTATTTTCTAAGGTAATTTATTAAATTTTAAATCATATTTTTATTGACATAACGTAATATAATGCTATGTTAAATTAAAAAAATTGTTTATCACAAGTAAATTTACAAAGGGCCAGAGAATGTTTACGAAAAAGACGAAAAGACGTATAAAATGGTTGTTGCTCTACACTAAATTACGGTATTTGTCAAAATATTTACACACGATACTGGTTTATCTCTTAAAAAAAAAAAAAAAAAAAAAAAAAAAAAAAAAAAAAAAGATGTTTGCACTTCTAAAGTTGTTTATTTTATTCCATTTCCTTCTTTTATACTAAGGCGATACGTTTGGGTCCTTTGATTAAGTCCTTTATGGTGAATTTTTATAAATTAGAATGTTCTGCTACATTACGCTTGTTCTCTTCGAAAGTAATTTTTTTAGTGCATGTTAATACCAGAATACTTGTATTTTTTTAAAAACAACTAAAATTAATTTGATTTTTTTAATGGTATTATGTAAATAAATTACTAGGAAAAATTATATTTGTTTTTAATAATTCAAGGCTAATATAGTTCAAGTTGTTACTCCTATTAATGAGATGAATGAGCGCGCCTATTCTTGTATAGCTGTTCTATACTTGAATGTAAAGCGGCGAAGCGGAAATGTAGTAACTTAATTCTAGGTTCAAATCCCGACGAACGTTTTGGCTGCATGGACGTTTTCGTGTTTATAAATCAAAATCTGTACAAAGCGTTGCTATGTTAAAGCATTGAAGATATTACTGTTCAATGATCGTTTGCTTTTTAATTGCAATCTTATCTCAGAGAAAAGATGTGTATGAATCACAAAACCTCCTTATATTGCTTATGAATAAAAAAAATCCAAATAGTTTCATATTATTTTCGTCAAATTTATTGACTGAAAGCATACAAAGCATGTTTCCCCTTAATGGAACCCGTTTAAGGGAGAATTATTTCATATTTCTACTTGTTCGCAAATTAATGCTATGAAGTCATGGGTGGATGCAACGTGGCCGTGAATCGAATTTGGAGCAAAGATATTAGTATTCGACAGTTTTATATACATAACTGCTAGAAGGAATCCACTTAAATATCAGTAGCATTTTATGCCATACAAATGGAAAACAGAAATGGTAGAAATTTCGTTTCTGTTTCGTACAGTTTTTCTAGTGGCAGAGATCCTGAATAGTCATTTCAAATTGTGAATATTAAAAAAATACTTTTCATGTAAGCAAGGTGCTGTATAAATCTTTCTCTCGCAAAACAGCTGAAATTCTTATAGCCAGGCAATCCCTACGTAAATTCAGAAACAGATTTTAATTTATTACTGAAATTCTATGCGTGATTCTTATCACGGAAAATTCTCATTCAGTACACGATTCAGTTAAAGGTATGTTACGGCGAGAAACGGCGAAGGAAAAGCAGGGAAAAAAAAAAAAACAGCCTTGCCTGGAGTCCATAAACAACATTTTAAAATTTTTCATTTAGAAGGCTGATGTTCACTTCTATTTCGATAAATATTTCATTAATTATTTAAGAATTTGGAGAATTTAGCTTGCAAGTTTAATTATGTAACGAGATATGCAAAACTAAATTCAAGTGAATAAGAAATATACACGCAAAAATCCTACTCACCTCATATATTATACTTCTTTTAAAAGGAAAAGGTAGTTTTCATTAAAACAACAATTTTTTTTCCCTGTTGAATGCTTAGTAGATACATATATCATTCGAGAGGAACGTGAAGTAGTATGCAATATTTAAGTCTTCATGTTATTTTATATTCTTTCATGTTCATTCTTTCTAATACCTTCTTGTATTATAATTTGAATTAGCACGGTTGCAGCTGTTTTACTCAGAAATGCAACAAATGGTTTACTCAAGCTTTTCTTTTATGTTATAACTGTTTGGTTTTTTATGTACATTCTCGTTTCATAGTGTAAAAACATGAGATCCCATAATGGAGCCAAAATTTTCATCAGTTGCACAGTATTTAAAAAACTGCGTGATTCAGTATCTCATTATCCAGAATATCGGCCGTTTCATTGTCTGACTTCCAAGAGGAAGTGCCTCTTCGCTTAAAACCTTTATGATGCTTATAATCTTCATGACAGTCCTTCTCTGGTTTAATAATTCTTTTTCTTTTAAATAGTAAAACGTTATTTGGCGATGACAAACAGTGCTGATAAATTGACGAATATTTATGACATGTGCTATCGCCTATTCTTGCTAGGCCAAATTCTACCTAATACGACTGCTATCAGCAAAGCTAATTTCAATGTGTGATGGAAGATCAAAGTGTGATTCTGGAAGACTAACAGGTGAAGCAGTTTGAAAAATTCAGAAACACTTTTTCTTACAAGGTAATTGGTAATAATTTTGTTTTCTTATACAAACGAATATTAGTAATGATAGATCATCAGATGGAGGAAATGGATCTCATATTTAAACTGTCTTATTTTAAAAAACTGAAATGAAAAGATTATAACCTGATGGAACCTTGAAAATTTGAAATGACCTTTTATTAATCAACATTATTTACAATGATGTTAGTAAGTCACAATTAACATCAGGGTTAATGATCATAAACGCTCATGGCTAACGATGCTGATGAACCAACTACTATCGCCTAGAGATATAATTAAGCAAGCAACAGTCTTTAATGCTTATGAAAAACTTTCAAAATTAACGCAAAGTCTGGGAAAGAAATCTCAAATTTTACCTAACTCCCTCGAATTCTTTCCTTAATTAATTCCTACAATCCTTAACAAGCCTTTTGACAAAATATAAACTTCTTTATAACATAGGAATGAGACGAAGAGTTAAGGGAACGCAAAAGAAAGCCAAAGCCAGGAGAAATATTTACTATCTTTCAAATACTATATGAAAAATTTCGATGGGAAATCCTAGCTGGCTACCCGTCAGCATCCCGGGCTATAATTATAAGTTAAATTTCATTGTGGAGTCTAGTTGCTAAAGTCCAGCCATAACGAAGGATGGACTTTAGCAACTAAGGATGGACTTTAGTCTCACGAAGGATGGACTTTAGTCTCACGTAGCCCGAATCGAAAATATTTTTCTGAGCTAGTTATTATATTCTTAAATATAAGATTTTTTCAAAAAATATTTTTATTTAAATAATAATACAACATTAAATTTTAGTTGCTTATGGTAACAATATTGGGATGATTACTATATTTATGAGCTATGAAAAAGGTCATTAAGGCTTTTAATATACTGTCTACAGCTTTACTATCGAAAAAACTAGCACTCTGAACAGTTAATCTTTGTAACGTAAAAGTTAAAATCCCCTCTCCCCCCAGGCCTATTACGCAACATTTGTTCTATTATTGCTAAGAGTGATAATTTTCTTCTATAATGCATTTTAAAGAACAGTTTTACATGCAAGGAAGTCCACGATTCTCTCTGGTTAATTCACAAATTGAAAGTTAATTTAGTTTAAAGCTATGAGTAATAAATTGAAAGGAGACTGGATTATTTGGATTAAGGTAAAGAATGCCGCCTTAAGCATACCATAAGCAAGCTTAACCCATACTTTAAGTATTATCTTACACATGTCTAAGATGAGGAAGACCTTTAAAATTATAAAAAGTTGGAAAAAGAAGAAAGGGACAAAAAAAAAAGTTGAGGTCAACTCTATTAGCATCGAATAATATAGTGCTGCCATCTAGACATGACATGCGGAAGTAGCTTCGTTTCTCAGCGAATTATATTAGAGCAAAATTCTCTGCAGCCAGACACTTCCCCATATAAAACAAATGTTCTTTCATCTAATTTTACAGTTAACGGCAGGAATATTTCTTAAAAAATAACAATTATTTGATGAAAAGAGCAAAAATTACTAGTATATAAGCTGCACTATTTCATATCTAATTCATCAGGTTATAATTATACTA